ATTATATTCTAGAGCAGTTACCTTGATTTAGTCGAGACCGGTGGTGCGAGAATCAGCCGCACGGTATCAATAGTGTGTTTGACGTCTTTGCATTTATTTTGGCTCATGGAAAGAAAGCGACGAGGAGGGCGTAGATACCAATTACGCAAGCTAGTAAGATCCTTCCATCTCCCAACCCCAGTACAAGTCGCGCCGCTTACTCATAACCGCGTCGCGAACATAGAGTGGAAACTAATACCAATCGACGTACCAAATCAACAATCAACGGGAAGTATCGAGAGTAAGTCACTGTGCTACGTTAAAACACCCGGGATCCCTGGCAGATGACGGGCGTACGTACCGCATGGCCAAAAAGATTGTACAATTAGCGTCAATACCGGTGAGTTCCTCTCCTATTTTACGTGAACCGCGATCCGGGACGTAACAGTACAATTCTATACCGTCAAACTTTCCCAACATATTTCACACACAGAAAGAAGAAAAAAATGTATTAACGTAAGGTTTGAAACACATGATTAAAACGTTATAACAAAAATACAAAATGATTCCGAAGTGCCTTATTTTCGAATGCTGCATTCAGTGTTGGAACAACGTGGGGTTTTGTGCGTAATACTTATCCAGGATGTTCTATAGGTACAAATGATGCAAAAATATAAACGTAAGGTTTGAAATGTTTTATTGAAAGATTATGAGGAACATACAAAATAAAAATAGATCATTTTCTCCTTCAATATTACATACGAATAATTATTGATATACATATTGTTTTTAGTGACTTTTGTACGTAAGTATAATAAATAAATAAATAACTCATACTTAAACTTATAATAAATAACTGAGGCAGCTTTGTGTACAATTTTCATTTATGTACGATTAAAATTATCAGATCTATCCCCTTTATTAAGAGTACACGAAAAAATACAAACAGTACAAGACGCACACAAGAAATTAATCGGAAGTAAGTTCGTAATAGAAGAGAAAAAATCGTATCCTTACCGTAATACGTAATCGTATCGTTCATATGTATCGTCGCGTAACTCGTGCGTACTAATATCTATGTAGAATTACTCGCATAATTCTTTTATCCTCGCAACGCCCGAATATTCTCGGTGATCTTTTTCGAACGTTTCGGGAATTTTCTATGTTTATTAGTCCACAACCATTTTATGACGTTTCAATAACAATTATACACGCACTCGTTCGTGTGACATTTCGACAACAGTTATACATGCCCCCATACATACACATTCGCTTAAAAGGGTCGACGTGCTTAGAAGATAAACGCGGATAACGCACTAATTGATTTGCTGTTTGCTGCGCTGGTTTTGTCGTATTTCGCTCAATTCTATCGCGATTTTTCGAGTACGTTCTTGACGCGACGGTTTAATGTCCAATTTCCACATTCACTTAAAATGTGAAATGTATTTACTGTTGCGTTTTTTTAATAAAATTGTGTTGAATTTAAAAAACTGTTATTATTTGCTTTGTTATTATTAGTTTTTATTATAATAAAAACTGTTATTATTTATTTGCTTGTTAATATATGCTTACTGCCTAATCCAACATGAAAATGAATAATTAGGAAAAGGTATGTCAAAGTACAGTTCATATAATAGTTACGTTAACAGATCTCGTGATACCACGTGAGTAGAAATTCCGCCATTACTATTTTTACTAGATAAAACTGTGCCCACGTTACATATCACGTTTAGCTGGCGATTATTAATTACAATAAATTTCAAAATGTCTTTTTTACATGAAATTTATAAAGTAATTCACACCTTAACACCTGAACAACATTTTTGAATAAAAAAATGTGGACTTTTATAAAAAAATACAGCTGCAATTATTCAGATACTTTTGTGACTTTCTGCAATGTATATAAACAAAGTTATTTTATTTACGCAACATATCACTAATATTATCAGTATTTTACAAAAAAATATCTGTTGAGCCTTACTCTTAAAATTGTAAGATCATACTTTTATTTTTTGGGATGTTGTTGAGCAAACGACTTATTAACTACGTTACCTTTTGCAGCGGTTTATTAGGGGCAATTTGTAATTCCAAATCTTATATTTTTACATATAAAAACGTGAAATAAAATGAGTTCATTCATCTAACTGCGACAAGCTGTTATGCTATGTGTATTTTTGGTTTTGTAACGTAACTGCGACTTCACTCAGGTATTTACAGCGCTTACGAAGCAAAAAGCGGCTTTTGCCTGTTAAGCGACTCGTTTTTACTATAACTAATTCTAAAAGAATGTGGGATCGTGGTGGCGTGTGGTTAAAGAGTGAAATCTACAGATTAATACCTTTTGTTACGGCCTACCCGCGTAAAGGCAGGTTCCTTCTACGTCACCTGCACGGAGGACAAAACCGCCGATAACGGTTCGCGCTACTCAGAAAATCGTCCTCTTTACGTGCGATAAGACAAGAGCAAGCGTTAAAGGACTACACGATTATTTTTTTGTATTCTTTATCGTTCGGTTAAATTTAGCGTTCGTACAATTGTAATTTGTTTAATCCGTGGAGTGTCTTGTTCGTCTTAATTATTGTTGTGCATTAAACTGTTAATCTAAACGTGTACTCTTTCGTTTCTCTCGAACACTTTCCTTCTCGTTACGTTACTTCTTTCTTATTTCTTTAGCAAATATAAAAATATATGTATTACTGAATTCTATAAGCAAAATGGAGTATACTAGACTTGTTGATATCACAAATCGCAAAACGGTAGCTAACTACTGTAATATACTCAGGATTCAGGTACAACCGAAATTAAATAAAATACTGTTTTGGCAGGAAAAATCAGAAATTTATTCGGGAAGAACGTAAAGTGCTCAACGCAATAGACAATGCCTGAATGAGCCCTCGTCGGACGACGCCGTGCGGGCCGTCGTTGCCCGATTTTCATTTGTTTTAACCGTCGATGGAATATTCCATCGACGGAAAATACAATGTCCGACTCGCACTCTTCACGCTCGCTCTTACAAATTACCCTATCCATTTCCTTCCTTGCCTCTAACCTACTTCAGTTACGCGGTTTTATAATGATGTACGCAACGCAAGAAAATAATGCAATTTTATAATGGATCTAGAGCCTAACAAAACTGACAGAACAATATTTGGTTAATTATAAAAACTGTAAACTTTGTATTGGACGTGGAACAGTTACTCCTTGTTTGACTCTAAACTAATTAGTTTCATGTCCCTTTTTGTCGGAGCACAAATCGGCACCCAAAACCTGATCACTTAATTGTGGAGCCTGCGTTAGCTGGCTGCTAGAACTACCCAACGATCGAGTATCCAAATGGCTGATACCCGCTGTCGTCAAAACTAAGAATCTTGTAGACTCTTACCAGTTGAAACTGCTCCAGTTCGTCGCTTCCTAAGAGGTCCGACACGTAGTACTTTAAAAATTGTTCTACTCTCGCAGCCTCTGCAGCACGCCCTTTTATACCCAGAGAATCATGGGTTCTTCCCGCTCAAAAAGTAGTTATTATTTTATTACGCTTTATTTAGTAGCAAATATATATTAGTTTGATTACTAAAACTCCGCCTTGATTTATTATTAATTAGTTTTTCACAAGTTTTCCCGTTAAATCGCAGTTTTAATGATTTTTAGATACACGAATTATAAGTGTTTCAATAGAAGAAATAATTAATTACAAACAATACATAAAATAAGAGCTAAAAATATGACGCAATTTATAATAGGTTAATAATTAATAATATATATAATATAAATATTTAAATGATAATTTATAATATACTTGGTTTCGAAGTATATTTGCTGTCTCTTCCTAACTAACGCGCGCGCCATCGATCGGTGATCTACTCTAAACAATGTTGCACGCGTGAGCTACCCCATAACATTACCGCGCGAATTGTTATAGTGCAGTCGGTAATTTGCGGTCGGTAATAGAATAAAAAAAAATATACAGATTAGTATGTTTCTTTATTTATCGATAGGATTTAATGTGATGTTCCCGGGACGTTACAGTTTATGAAAGATCAAGATCGATGAAATGACTCAGGCACGAGGACACACTTACGCCACAGTAGTTTATTTTTAAGCAATACGTAAGTCCAATTTAAATTATTTCTACATGTTTTTTTTTCATTTAAAGTAGACAGATGTTAATATATTTGTTAATTATTGGATTTAAAATTTTTTCTGACGAATAGAGAAATTATTTTTCCTTCAAAATGCACGAATTGGTTTCTTTGTATTTTTGTCACGGGAGACAAGAACAATTTTCAATATTTTGTGGAGACTTGCGTCGCGCTTTATATTATTCGCGCCATTTACAGTCAACCCTCCTATAACGCGGTGAGTGCGTACCGCGTTATATGGAAACCGCGTTCTGAGAGTACCGCGTTATGGGAGGGTTGACTGTAAATAACCGTACAAACCAGGCGAATTCGTAGCGCGTTCTATGGAAACCGTCTACCGCGTTGTATGGAAACCGCGCTATAAGGAACTCAGAATTAGTACAAATCACATCATTCGTACCGCGTTATATGGAGACCAATAAATACAAAAGACAAGATAAATTATAAATTATTTTTATTGAATTGAAGAGTTCATATAAGGAAATGATAAAAAAAATGAAACAAAAACTAAACTAAAAAACTGTTTTCCAACAAAAGCAAGAAAGACTTTTGTAAAATTATGTAATCTTTCAACACTCATCCTCGCTGTCAGATATGAGTCGCCTAACTCGTCTTCTTTTAATGGGCAAAATGTCTTCCTCACTTGGTTCATCTTCACATTGGTTTTCGATTGTAGCTTTCTTTTCAAACTCCACTAAAACCTCTCTATAGGGAGCTAAGCAATTTCTTAACTCTCTTTTAAACTTTGCGCTGCGCACCGTTGAATGATCAGTTTGAATGAAATGAAGTTCTAATTCTTTAGCCAAATTTAGCCCTTTTTTCACATCTTGTAAATCGAGATTTGGCACCCATTCGTTTACCAATGCATTTGAGGTGGGTGCATCAATTAGTTCCATCAGTTCTTCCTCATCTAAAGTTTCTTCCCCGAGTACTAGTTCTCTTACATCCTGATGGTTTACTGCAAATTCTTCATCGCTTACTATTTCTGTAACTGGGAGTGAAATGGTAGAATCATCTTGTATTGCTTGAACCATTTGAGGTAAAAGAGGTTTCCAACACGCATTAAGCGTTGATGGTTTAATTTCCGCGCAAGCCGATGACATGGTTCTAATACAATCTAAAATAGAAAATTCCATCCACACTTGAGTAAGAGTTTTATTTTCACTATTTTCTAATCTGTCGAAAATGGTTTGGAAAAGTTGGCGTGTGTAGTACATTTTTAAAGTTTGAATGACTCCTTGGTCCAAAGGTTGTATTAATGACGTGCAATTAGGAGGAAGGAAGACAATTTTCACATTTGGATGATCCAGTTCTATGTTGTGGCAACCAGCGTTATCAAGAACCAATAAAACTTTGAAATACAAATTTTTTTCCATCGTATAGGTTTCCACTGTCAGGATAAAACAATTATAAAACCAATCCTTAAATAAATCTTGAGCCATCCAAGCTTTCTTATTAGATCGCCAGAATGCAGGTGAAGGGTTACGTGTATGAAATAAAATATAACTGCAGTTTGTTGCGTTTCCTTGTTTAATCTGTACCGGAGCCCCGTCAAGACTTATCTCAGTAACAATGTTCACGAAGTTCTCTCGTGCTGCGCTCGCTTCCCTATTTTTATATCTTTACTAAATTTAATGGACAACCCCCTGAAAGGTGGGGTTAACCAATGACCTTAATCTAAGTCCCGCCAAATCATAGAACCTCCCTCTTGTGCCCGAAGCACGCTTCCTTGGAGCGGGGGTATGATTTGACGGGGGTAGCGTTTGCTGGTGAAGGTGGCAACGCAGCGGAATTTCCCAAGGCCCAGGTCAACTACGCGACCAGCCGATGGTCGCTTGACCTCGCGATGCGGACCCTAAGGGAAACCCAGGGTTTATGACACTAAGCGTTTTACTGTTGAGACCATTAGCAAAAATTCTAAGTACGGTCATGCTTTCTCTAAAAATTCTAAAAACGGTTTCCTCAAAAACAGTTCCACTGTTGTCCCTGTCATAAACCGTGCTAGCCGTTTGCACGTTAAAACCTATTTACAAAATTTACAGATTTACAGCTAGCCGCTACACAGGCAATTGGGTCTTATTAATGTTTTTCATTACACGGGGAGTTGAATAACGATTTATTATCATTGGTTTTATCATCAGGCTCTCTGATAGATTGCTGCACACATGAAGGGTGATACGTTCTTTTGAAGGTTTAAATCCCTGAGCACGCCTTTGATTTTTCAAAATGAAGGTCCTAGATGGTAGTTTTTTCCAATATAATGCCGTCTCATCGGCGTTAAAAATCTGATCAGGTGAATAACCTCCTTCATTGATAATTCTAGGTAGTTCCAGCTTATAATTTTCGGCAGCCTCAGCATCTGCTGAGGCCTGTTCTCCTTGAAACTTAATATTGTGCAATGTGTACCTTTTTTTTAGTTTTTCAAACCATCCTTTACTCGCGACAAACGAATGATTTTCTAGCCCTGCATAAGAATGCCCAATATTCCTTAAATGTTCGTAGATTTTAAGTGCTTTCTGCTTGATAAGATTTCCACTGATAGGAATCTTTTTGGCTATACAGTCTTCCAACCAGATCATTAACGCCTGTTCCATTTTAACCATATTAGAATTTCGTGTGCGAGTAACACGTTTAACGGACAGCCATCTGCCACAGTTTTCCTTATATTATCTGCATTTTTCTTTAAGGTTCGAATTGTAGATTAATGGAAATGGGAGTATAGTTTTTAAAATATGATATTGAAAAACTATTTAATGTAAATATAACACAACTAACACCATTGAAACTTTGAACAAATTTATTTTAAAAATATGAAACTGTAACTAGGAAGGAAACTTTAAGCAAGAACTCTTAATATGCGAATGCAATCTTGTAATTGATATGAGAACAGAGAAGAATTAATATTTTAGATATTATTTTATTTTAACATTTGAGGGTCTCGTTTAAACGAGCGGTATCGTATAGCTAGTAGATAAGTATACAAACTTTATTACCGACATATTGACAAATTACCGACATACTTGTATATTTATTTTTGCTATTTTCAACATAGATTCATTCAAATTTGTTGATTTTGCAACAGACGATATTTTTTCCCCGCCTTCTAAACGATTTAAAATTTGGATTTTTTTATCTTCAAGCGATATAAACTTTCTTTTTAATCCTTTCCTTGTTTCTTTTGTGTTTGACATGATGCAAATCTAGGGTTAATAATTACTTTATTATTATATTAGAACAAATGAAGAATATTACTTACAGTATTGTGTAATGTTATGCAATTATAAACCACAAATTAAACGGCTAAGAGATAAACTTGAATATTTATATAAACTATAGTATTGTATGTGCGTCGTGGAATATTCCACCGACCGGTAAAGGGAAGAGTTCGGGGAAACGACGTCGCCGTTCGGCAACGTCGAAGAGTCGAGCAGGGGGTAGTTCGTCGTTCGGCAGTTAGTGTCGTACGATCGGCAGGACCATTACGAAATAAGGTATCCTTATGTTAAGCGAATTACTGATTTTTCTTTATGCTTGAGCCTGACCTGATCTACTACAAAACATATCCAGTTAAAACCATTCATTGGGTACACGGAAAGAACTGATGGGACGTTGTTGAACGGAAACCGCGCTGTAAGAGTACCGCGTTATAGGAGGGCTATCGCTAGTTCAGCTCCGCGTTATATGGAAACCGCGTTCTGAGAGTACCGCGTTATAGGAGGGTTGACTGTATATTCTATTGTTTTTTTGTACGAAATACATGTAATATTCGAGTTGGCAGCAGTGGGAGACAAAAGAATAAACGGAGAGTCTTCATCGTGGCGTGGCGCATGGAGCGATGCACACGTGCATTTTGTAATTCGTTAAGATTAAAAGTATATTACAAGTGAAAGATACCTATATTATTAATTAAAATCCAACATATTTTATTCCTTATTCCTTTCGAATAACAAGTACAAGTATCGAAAGAATTCGATTCACTCGGTTTAAGTTAATAACAAATAATTAGTTTATCCCCTTTGTGTAAATAATTCATAATCTGTTCTTATTCTTGATTATTTTACTCGTTATTTGATTTAACTTTGACGTATTTAACTTTCTATTAGCAATTAGACGGTCACGGGAAAACATGCTTGCTCACGATCATGTTCAGCCGTCAGACGCGAAGCTGTCGCTCTTGCGTCCGAACCCGCGCTATTCTCGCACTCTGATTGGTGAGTTTTTCGTTAATAATTCAAAAACTAAGTTTCCATCAACATTTTTGAAAAGAAAAAGTTGTTCAATATCACCCCAGCTACCTCCCCCTGAAATTATGCCTATCAGTAGCCGAACACCTTGTATATGTATACAGGGTGTCCCACAATTACTGTAAGAGTCTAAAAGGGGTAGTAGGTGGAGCGATTCGGAACAGCTTTTTTCTCCGCCAAAATATTGGTTGAAGCTCCATTTTCGAGTTAAAAATACTTTGAAACTTTATTTCATGTGCAATAGGGCACGATCAGAATAAGTAATAAATCTGGTATAAAATGCTTTTTACTGTCAAATATATTTCAGGAAAATACGTGCATTTTTGTGCACCATCTATGACGAATAGCTCACATCAACTTGTAGTACATTACTACCTACTAGATGGAGAAATTTCGCTCATATTGTAATAAAAATAGCCTGTATATGCACTTGCCTCGTTTACGAACTTACCCCACTTCACCTTAATTTCCTTTTAATTTTTTATTTTTATTTCAAGTAAACTTCCCACACAATTATTCAATACTACATTCTGAACTATGGATTCCACATAATATGTGAATCTTTGTATTTTTTAATCCTGTCTTGTAATCTATAAAAGTACAATAGAATCGAAAAATTATAACAAAAGAAAGTCGAGGATAATTAAAAACTACTGTCGTCAATATGTTGTTACGTATTCTGTTTTCAGAATGTACAGAAGCAAAAAGTACATATCAAGAGCAAATCTGACTTTCCTAGGGAAAATGGCGGTCAAGGGGAAGTGGTTTTTATTGATATGCCTTATATCTAATGCACAGGAAGTAGTCTAGATGTCGATACATAACGACATTTTCCCGAACAAATATTTACTTTTAACCCATTAACTCCGTACGACGTATTTACTACACGTCAATCAAAAAATCTATTCTGGTGTGGTCAACGTTTATTGTAAAACAAAGAATTATTGTTGACCACGAAGACTCGAAATTTCGATAAGATGAAATAAAAGTGTCATTTCGTGATATAATTCTTTTATATTACCAATAGAACTGCAATATGTATGACATATGTTTTACGAAAAAAAATTGTTTCTTTGCTTTGATGTGTTGGATACTTCCCACTCAATGTACAATATTACTTTTTACAAATCGAATTCATTATTTCCCCCATTCCATCTAGTACTTGCTAATTTGTTTTGCTCATATGGTTGTATATTGAATATTTTTTCAAAAAAAATATACTTTTAAAAATACCACAGTGAAATCAACTAAATTCCTTAAATCTACTTTCTTCCTTTAATTTTTCTTGTTTATAAATTTTACATTTTTTTTACAATTTTTAAGGTTTTAATAATAATAACCTTTTCCACAATATAGTATTAATTTCGTGTCTTCCTCGTTTTGCTGTACTTTTTTTCATATAATTTGTACTAGGATTATTTGCCCTGCGGTCGACGTGCATACACGACTTTGCATGATTTTAATTCTGTACGCCGCGAGGGATTTCTAAAACTCAACTCCACCGTTAAAGAATTAAAAGCAAACTGGTTTATTTTGTAACAGATAATACTGAACTCGACCCGAAACTCGGTTACGTATTAAGTAATATGTATCGTATACATTCTGTCGTAAATGTTGACTCCCTCGGCTCCACTGTAAGAAACCGCAAAGAAAGCCAAACTTTCTCGGTTCCGTGAGATTTTCAGTGATTCCACATAAGAACCTCTTACTCACACTTAGAAATCTATCCTTTTCTATTTCCACTGACTGCCATTCTTATCCGACACGAAGCTACAGAATTATTTTTAGACGTTACAAACTGAACTAGTTTGTTTATATAAGTGAATATTTTCTCTGAAATATTTTCATAAGAAAATGGTAAAAGTAAAACTAAAATTCGATGTATGTACTAAATGATTTTATTTGGTGATTTGCAGCTCCTGGATCTGCGCGTGACCGAGGTCTGCAGTCCTGTTAGGTGGATGATCGAAACTATTAGGTTGTCTGGAAAGTTCTTTTCGTTTTTTTAATAGGTGTTAAGTTTAAAATATTTTGCGTTCAGTGTATTAGTTCAGTGTATTATTCTTCAGTGTATTATTCTTAAGTAATATATAATCCGTTCTGTTCTACCACCCTTCTGCCATCTTTCTGGAAGCCTCATAATGCCACTTTCCCAAAATTCTCTTAGATTACTGTTGAAATATTCTTCAAGACCGTTT